ATAATGTCATTCAATTAAAAATTTTAAAATAAATGTATAATATTCTTTGCTTGTCATGTTGGCTTTCTGCTAAACAATCAATATGGGTTTGAACCTCATCTTTCTTTTATAGCCACTCTACCGGTAGAACATGTGATCTGCGCTTTTTAATTACCAGAACCAAACCAGTTTGCACATCTTGATATTTGCACAGCAATCATTGTAGCTCACCCCCAACATGCCCACTTACTAAGTTGAAAAAGTTGCAAGTGAATTTTAGCACGCCTTTTTTGGAATCTTTGAGGATCAGGCCTGCAGTAAAGAAGACGCAAAAATTCACATAAAGCTAAGAAAAAAAACAACTGTTTCTTTTTACAGCAAAATAACTTCCTAACAAATAATTAATTCCACATGGTTTACACCTAAATTATGTAATTGAGGAGAGAGGTTATCCACTACTAAGGGGTCAAACAAGTATGTTCCTGATGGGTAAAAGAAAAGTGAAAAAGTGTTACAGACGAACTAGTCTCCCTGCTTATAATCTTCTCTGCACTGAAGTACGTACTGTTGAACTCATTTTCCACAAATGAAAAAAAAGACGTATTCTTAACATATCCTTCCACTGAGTGTTTCCTTTTTGAATTATTCCTAAGATTTCTTAGCCTGGGTGCCAGTCCGAACTTAGTCCCGCCCACAAGGTTTGAGTTCGGGGAAGTTCGGTCTGGCTCTGCTCCATAGTAGCGCGAGTATTAAAGCCCACTGTCAGGCGATCCAATCAAATTGTCAGGGCGGGCTTTATACGATGATGGACAGATGATCAAGAGTAACGTAATCAACCACGTGACCAAAGCGCGCTTGGGTGACAACAATAATGGCTGCCGCTGGAGAGTTTGGGTGAGTAGATTCTGCTATTAGGTCTGTTCTAGAAGATATCGACAGCAAATTAATTTTAAAAGAGGAACAGAGAAACGCGATCAAGTCTCATCTTCTTATTCTAGGCGTGAAACTGCACGCTTTGATTTTTGTGGACAACAACTATGCCTCGCTTAAGAGCACTCCGTTGCTCTTATTGGTTGTAGGTCTATCCAATTGAGTGCAGAGGCATTTTTTTCCTGGTTCGTTCAAAACACGCCCCATAATCACAGCTCTATGGAGCAGCATCAGACTCATATTCTGACTAGAATTGAGTCGGACTACGTCAGGCTAAAGATTTCTAAGAGCAGAGTAAAAAGTAAACCTAAAGGAGTTGTTCAAGGGCCAAGGGGCAAGTAGCTGAGAACTTAAATAGACAGTTGGAGGTACAGTATTCTCAGGAAAATAAATGTAACCCACCATTTGGCCTCTTAATGCTGAGGACTCCACAGGAAGATTAATAACTTGGATCATGTAGAAGAATTTGAAAGTCATAGCAAACATCATGTTTGGAGCAATAGCACCTCAAAACCACAGCAACGTCTTCTTGTGGGGAATGTGACAGTGTGTGGTCTATTGTAACATATAGGTCTAACAGAACTCTGATAAGGAATGAAGAATAAATATAGAAATATACTAGGAGATTCTTGATCAGACTGAAGATAAGATTATGGTAGATTTATTTTCAGAGACATGATCCCAAACACACAGCAAAGTATCAAACATTCACCTATACAAGCAACCATTACTAAGGAAGGCTTTTCTAATAAGCCACAAGTATATATTTCTTTTAGCATTTTCAATCCCCTTCCGTGTCCAAATCCGTTTTAATGCATATATAGTGTATTGACTTATTGAGCTATTTGGATTCCCTCCCAAAATCTGACCTGCTGTAGACTCGTCAGAAATGTACTAACTCAGGAAAACATTGATGTGCTCAAAACCTATTTTCCCTTCTGTAGGATTAGACCCAATTTTTAATTGATCTGCACTCAAAGAAAACTGCAATCAATATGCAGAAAAACAGAAATGCATCTAATTTAGTCAAGATGTCAAATTTCCTGTTCAAAATATTCAGCACCACACCCAAACACTGCTACATAGTAACCCTTGGCTCTTCCGCCAACCATGGCTCACCTACACTTTTGGCACATCAGCCGAAAAGGGAATTTAACAGCCTTCATGTTACCTTTTTTATTTTTTGCCATGAATGCATACCAGTGTGTCTAGTGCAACACTGGAAACAGACCTGGCTTAGTTGGTAAATTAGGGATGGATGGTGTCTGGCCTTGAGCTTGTAGAGTCCCAGAGCAGTATTCTGGACTTCCTGTCGTTGCAGAAAGAAATGAGGTAGAGGAAGCTCTGCAGAACAGAACAGTTCGGTGCCAAAGCCAAGAAGGGTCAAGATAGGTGCAGACACAGCCAACTGCATAGAGCTACCGCGTAAGCATTCATCTGTTCATAATTTCATATTGTCCTCAACTCCATAAAAAGCCTCTGCATCTTTTACATCAAATTTGGCTCTTTTAAGCAATGATATAGTGTCTGGATTTTTAAAATCAACATAAAGTATTTACATTATAACTTCAACTGTGCCAACAGAATAGCCAGCTCTCCATCATAGCCAGAAGCCAAATTGCTCTTATCCATCTGTTTCCTCATTCTGTCTCCCAGGCTCCAGAGAGATAAATCACAGCTTTTTCCACTATGTCTCCCTCAATGAAAACACACACAGTCATTTATGAGGCTGCCGTCTTCAACTACTTCAGCGGGGATTTGTAAACCTGTGTCTTGAGGGACGATTCATAGCGATGTAGGCGGCAGATAGTGATATGTGTTCATGGATTGTGTCAGGAGACAGTTTATGAGCTTAAAAGTACAGTGGACAGTTATCCTGGTGCAGGATTTGTCAAACATTTAAGAAACCTATAGAACCAGTGGAAGCTCTTTTTTTGTTTGCAGTTAAAAAAAAAACATACAGACAAATGAGGGCTGGAGGTAAAATGCAAAAAGGTGTTTGCAAAATGCATTAAAAATGCATTTTGCAAATCTAAGTAATGGAGCAAAAATTTGACAGCACTCTATTCTAAGCCTGTTTTACTAACAGACTGATTCCATGTGAGCTAAAAGAGCAATTAAAATATTTTAGAAAAAAACAACAGGTTTTCCATTGTTTTCCCATATGCATAAGTGAATTTATCTTGCAAAACAGCTTCTGAGTCATACCCTCTGAAACAGGAAGTGCTTCCTTATATGGTTAGAAGACATTACCAGTCTAAATACTAACAGCTCTCAGGAAGGTGCACAGTTGTAAAACAAAGACAGAGCATATTTAGGACTCCCTGCTAATTTATGGACATTCTTAACACAATTAAATTGAAATTCAAAAACTTGAACTTGAACTTAAAATCCCAGACAAGTGGGGAAAGCTGTTTGGCATGTTTGAATGCATGAGCAGGTATAGCGTGCAACCAGCAAACAGGCTTTAACCATGCTGCCTCAGTAGAGGGATGAGGTCATAGAAGTTGGCCAGCAGAGTCCGGTTGTTTTGTCCAGAAATTCTGAATGGAAGTTACATTTCAATCCCGCACCAAAGAGATTTATGGGAAGCAGGTACTACACTTCAGAAGCAGCTATGTGACATTTGCAGGAGGGTGTGCGTACGAGAGAAAGAGCTCACTGAGGAATTGACAGGATATTATTGAAGAAGGGGTTGAGGTGTGTGTGTGGGTTTGTGTGTTTGCACCATTTGCATTTGAATAAAAAAAGTTTCAAAGACCCATCTGATGCCAAAGTGGAATTGGCATTAGAGATTTCAGAGTATCTGCTGAGGAAAGGATGGATACATTGGCTGTAGTAAGTCTAAAATTACCTTACCTCTTTGGCTCTGTCACTCTTGGTCCCCTTTAAACAAATCTGGCACTGTTCAGTGCTAAATATGACCTCAGGCCAGCTCACCGGGTAATTACAACATGTTAGAAAAATACACTGTGTTTTTTTTTCCTCTCTCTGGGTGTAATTTCATTTCAGTGAGCAAAGTTTAAAATGGGGACAGAGGTTTCTAATATGGTTTTATTTTCCTATGCTAACAAATTCCTATGACAAGCAAAACTGGCCCAGTTTAAGCTCAACCTCTGTCCGTTTATCTTAAAGGAATAAATACAAAACTGAAACACATCCAAAACTTTAACACAGCCAGTACATTGTTTTAAGCCTGATGTGATTTTATCTTTAATCAGATGCAATATAATCAGCTTTCAAGTTTTTCTGCTCAAAATGCTTTTTTTTTTGGTCAGCGGATTGCTTTTACAAGGTCAAGAAAAATGACCCACTTGGATGGTCTTGATTGTTGCAGAGCGCTAAGTATGCAAAACTTTTTTTTTTTTTTAAACTTACTTGTGGTGTAATTTTTTCCTCTAGTAAAAACAAACCAGAAGGTTTATTTATCCTTGAAAATTAAATGCAAATGTAAGATGAAAAACTAAGGAACTATAAAAATGTTCAGGCCTTTGTGATATATATAATGTCAGGCTTAAAATACAATCTCCTGTAAAAATAATGATATCGATGGATGAGTGAATGGATTAACTAGAGAGTGAAGTCTGGAAATGCAAATATTTTTTCCTTAAATTATTATATTTTCTTATCCAGATCTGGATTAAATAAAATTCAGTACTTGTCCGTATTTTTCCAGACTGTCTAAGAAACACTTAAACAAAAAGGTTTGTCACCAAACACATTGTGAAAGTTTTAACTTAAATTTGTTTAGAAGTTTTCATTTAAAGAAACAAATGTTGATCTACTAAGTTCTTGTGAAACGATATATCCATATACACTTTCAACAACTTTCCTTGCAAAGCCTCAACATTATCTGACCATCTTGCTTCTCAATACAATACAGTTCAAATCAATGAACCTGGATTTGCGTTGTCGGTATTATATATTCATAAAAATTAGCTACAAAAAAATTTCAAAATGATTTGCAAAAAGTTATCCATCCATAAAGTGTAAATATCAAAATGGCTCAAAATATTTCAAAGCTTTTCAGACAGCAACATAGGAAGTGTTATCTACTTGAATAATAATGGTAGAGAAAGAAAAGGACTCACGCAGACACTCATTGGCCTCCCGGGCATTGGCCCTCTGCCATGGTCGGTCGTAGTGAAAGGGCTTGCACCGATCACATTCAGGCCCTTCTGTGTTGTGCTTGCAGTCACACACCAGCTTCCCTTCTTTGTCTTTTAGACAACGCGAGGCATGTCCATTGCATTTACACCTTCCACCCACCTGGAAGTCTCCTGCTGCATAGAAATATGTAGGTAATGTTGAAGTTACAGCCATTGGGTCGTCGTCCCTTCCTCCAGTGTTGCTTCCTGAGCCCAGTACAAGTTCCCTGGGAAGCTGAGGTCGACTTAAGACCACACGAATATCAGTGACTGTGACCCAGTCCTGAAGGACAGGGCTGTTGTCGAAGTCTTTCCCAGAGGGTCTTCCATCCAGAGTGCTGAAAGCAATCAGTCCTCCAGAAAGTGGGTACATTTCAGTGTGCCCATCTGTGCACAAGGCCTCCTGCTCATTTTGTTTAGTAATGGTTGCTTTGTTGGGCCTGTTGTACATGCGTCTGCACTGCGAAGAGTAAAACTGATAGGGCATCCAGGTCTTGCCATAATCCATGCTCTTGTATATGGCCAGGGACTCAGGTCGTGGAGAGCAGAACTGCAGACTCACATAAGTGATCTCAAACTTCTTTCCCAAAGAGAGAGTGAGAGTCACATTGTGTGGTGATGTGTTTAGATTCTCTGACTGCCAGCAGGTAAGGTTGTGTGCAGAGTTGAGGTCTGTAAGGTAGGAGGCAGGGTGAGCACGCCTTGGGTCAGATGCATCACAGATTTGGCATGCACGCACAGAGGGCCGCTCGTCGCTGCGCTCAACAACACTGCAGGAGCGGGACGGAGGTCGACCACAGACACTGGACACAGTCACCTCCTTGCCAAAGGCAGCATTTATAAACTCCGGGATGCATCGTCGGGCAGCTCCGCTCTCATCATAGCAAGGGTCTAAGGAGTTTTGCTGGCCTGCAAATGGATTGCTGGCAGTGTGGGTGGAGGCTGAATTTAGGAGGAGAAACAGGCCCAGCAGGCACCTCAGAGGTTCCCTCATCCTGCTTAAAGGGCCTGTGTTGATTTCTGCAAGGTTCTGACTTGATATGTGTCCACAACACTGTGCGGAATGCTGAGCTATTATGCTGCTCTGGACGGATGTGTCTAAGTGTATTTCCCTTGTGTGTGTTACTGTCAGTCAGTGAAAGGAGATTGTCTGAGATCAGTGACCCTTCACTCCGGTCCTTCCTGTAAGAGACAGAAACAGGCAGTGAGGTCAATCTCACAAGCATATTTTTACCATAACAGGACATAAGATAGAAAGTGACACTGTTCTACAATATTAAACAAAGACAAGTTAAACTTGCCCTTATAAAGAATCCTATAATGAATCTTTAGTACCAGATAACACAAGTGTTTTCATTGACTAAAAGCATGTCAAAGGATCAGACAGTTAAATGAGGGCCCCAAGTGAAAGGAAGTGACCATTTAAAGAGAGACATTAGAGGCTCCAAGTTACTGCATCTTGAATTTCAATGTCGCTTTCTCATTCAGTTCTCCTATTCAGGTCAAACCAGCCCCCACATTCTGGTCAAGCTTGAAAAGCATGGCAGAAGTCACCCTAATAATCCCCACGTGGGACTGCAAAGCTGTGAACTGTGCGTGACTCTGGTCAAACCTTGGATGAAAGGGAAAGTTTTGACAAAAGAGAACAAGAGTACCTTCCACAGTTATGGCTATTAACTTCATGTTGACGGATCATTGTACAGTAAATGCCTACATTTAATATTAGCACAGGAAATCCAATGCCAAGAAAAACACATTTTTTTTCATCAAAATTACCCAGCCATAAATAAAAATGAATTTTTGTAATCATAGCTTAAAAGGTATAGTGGAGGATTTTCGCACTTGTTTTCAAAGACCTGCCCTCCCCACTTTAAAGAAAAATTGCACATACACAACCCTGTACCTGCTACCGAGAGGGAATGCCTATTAAACGCATGCAAGAGCATGCGCACGCTCATTTTTCCTCGTGCACGCTCTGTTTAAAAGTTGCCGTTTGCATCGCTCATACAAGCTTACTTTCAAAAAGGGATTTGCAATTTTTCCCTATGTCAGACTCACCACTGGTAGGTGAAAATGGGAATGAGCATGTAGGATGGCCTTACCCCAGGCTCACACCGACTCCGGTCTTACCCTTGCGGTGTGGTGGGTGCGGCGCCGCAGTGATTCCAAGTCATTAAAAAGACGTAAACCTCTCTCACCGGCTGCAGAGCTGTCCGTGCGCACACTCCGGCGCTGCAGAAAATTCAGCAAGAAAGCTATCCTTGCGGCGTGCCGGAGCCCTCCGCAACAAGCTCTCGCAAATATCCTTATTTGGGCCGTGTTATCGCGTGAAGTTACGTGAACTCAAGTGAACATCTGTTCTCGCAAGTTAAATCTCCGGACCTGTTGCCGGAGCCGCAGAGCCGCACCGCACCGTAGTCAAAAGGGCGGTGTGAGAGGGGGTGTGCGGGAGTTGCGGTCTCCGTCGGCTCGGTAGCCACACCGGAGCCAGTGTGAGCAAGGGGTTACGTAAACATATCACCAGAATGATTGACAATTAGGAGGACCACTTATTTTGATGATCCACCTGGAAAAAGAACTTCTTTCACTAAGCCTTTAACTCTTTAAAATATGTAGGAACATTCTTTGGGGAAATGCAATGACAGCTATAAGTCTTTTCATCCAGTTTTTTGATTATTTCCACTAGGTCCTTCACAGATTGAGTTACAAGCCTCTGATTCAACATTTTTGTGATGCAATTGGTAGAGGGAGATGTCCATTCAAGAGCTGAGCTGATCTATGGTCACATAATAAAATGGGTATCAGAAAATGTCTACATACTGTACATGAGTTCCGTTTCCAGAAGCCCTCTACCAAGAATGCTAACACTGAACAAGTGCTAATGTAAAAGGGTTTCAGAAAGCTGACTAAGTGTATATAACATAAATAACATGAGTGCATCAAATATAAATGTTTTTTTTTTTTTTTCTAAACGCTTTTCTACTAGGAATGGACCACTGCAACACACTTTTTGAGCATATCAACCACTAAGAAGTCAGCATTATCTTCATCCGCTGAACCAAAAAATCCCCAAAAGTGCTGATTATTAAAGACTATTCTTCATATCAGGGGAATTAAGGCTATGGTTCCATTTAAGCCTTTAATGCTATAGATCTAGACATATACAGGCGTTGAAATGCTCACTGATAGAATAGAGGCCACTCAGTCCTTGTGAGACTGAGTGGCCTCCTTGCACCACCCAAATCTTTTTGGGAGGTGCAAAGAGAAAAAAGCCGTGGGGCAAAGAAAGAGATTTATGATCGCCTAAAGCTTTTCCTTCACTAATCCCCCATCTTTGTCCCTGGGAGTCAAACTTGGAAGAACCTGTTTCACTAAAACAGCTGAGGAGTGGAGAAGGTCCTCCAATGGTCTTTGGTGTTTATTAAATTACAACGAATCACAGCCACCGCCTTATTCCCCCACACTCTCTTTTACTACTGCATCCCTTTTCATCATGGTACAACAAAAGGCTGCTTCTGTATCAACTTCAGTCAGGGCTTTAAGGGATTGAAGTCCAAACTGAAAAAAAGAAGAAAAAAAGAAAGAAGTTATTTTCTACTGCAAGGGGTCCAAAGCCAGCAACCCCCAATAAAGAAGCAAGTGGCCTGGTAAATGGGACCACTCTTCATCCTCAAGTACATAAGCAGAGCCATTTGGCCCGAGTTCTTAAGCTCAGCTTGGGTGTTGGAGGGGAATGGTGTTACAGCGGAGAGACAGGGTGAAAGAATGAATGTGGTTGCTTCCATGTCAGAAACCAACTGACCAACAGTAATATACTTCATTTTGCACTTCTTTTACATAAACTCTATCAGCATTAACTCACTCAAAGAACTAAAGGAAATCTAGTAGGATTAAAGGAATTACATTTAAAAAATTTAAAATCAAAGGATTAGTAACTTCAACCTGGTTATACGTAAAACTATTTTTATAAAAAAATAGCTATAGATATGATTAAAAACAAATGAAGAACATGTAAAGCAACAATAGGTTTTAAAAACACACACGGGCAGAATCACAAATAAAAGAAAAGTGCATGATAAGCTAAAAGATTTAAACTCAAATATACATTTTCTTTCGTTTCAAAGCTATACAACATAGTAACTGGCCTGGAGTCTTGTGAGAGGAAAAAAAGGAACTAAGAGCAGATCTAAAGTTGGTTTCCAGAATAGTTATGCATTTCTGAAAATTAAGGTCCCAGTCAAAAGTCCCACTAAGGTTTATTGCATGGTCACAGGGTAAAACCAACACCTGCATCAAGTTAGGCCTATATAAAATCTATATACTACATAGACTGATGAATTAGTATTTGTCAGGATTCTGTGTTCCGTGCTCTGCTGATTCTCTTCCACAGGTGGCTGTTGTTGACAGGTTGGCGTGGCCACGTACCTGCGGCTCGTTGGCGCTGCTCTGGGTGGAGCTAAAACGAGTTTTCAGTCAGCTGAAGGATGCCAGAGTGGTAGACCATCGGGGTACGGCTAGGCCACTGTCCAGTCCACAACTCTTCACTCCTGTGAGTTAAACGTTTTGGATTCCTAGTTCTAACTCTGTTCTCCTTTCTCTCAGTTCTTTGTGCTTTGGATATCTGACCGGTCGTGTCCCTGTGCCAGAGATGGGGACTCGAGTTTGTGACTCGTACTCGATTCGCACTTAAGTCGCATATTTAATGACTTCAGACTCGACTTAGACTTGCATTTAAAGGACTTCAGACTCGACTGAGACTCGTGATTTCCGACTTGTGAACAATATTTTATTCCAGTGTAAAAACACTTATTCAAGTGTTTTTTGTTTTACTAACTTGACCGATCGCCGCTCGCCTTACCCGCACACAGAAGAAAACTCAAAGACCCAAACCGTGAAGCACTCAAGTTCAAGTGTTTTATTTATACAAAAAGCCACAGCAAAAGTGGCATAATAAAACAGTCATTTTCTTCTCCTGATAAAACCTAAAATTCAAGAGTTTTCCTTAAAAAACAGAGGCTGGAAGTTGGGCTCCGCTTGTTATGCTGCTTCTGGTGCGAGTGAGCGGCCTGCAGCACCCACTGGCTGATCCACAGACTCTGCGGCGCTCCGGCACTGTTCCACTCCCTGGCGTGCCACACCCCTTTCCAGACCGATCCAGCTAAAAAGAGAAGCAGGGAGAATGCCAGCATCCACGCGCCAAAACCCCGTCGGAAGATATATTCCTGTTTATGCTTTAAGCGAGGGGGAGCGCTACTTACAGGCGAGGTTCCTCCTCTGCCCTAATACTCCTTACTGGGCCATCTGTGCGCACGGATCCCGCCTGCCTCTCCCCCGGCAGCGCGTCCGTCTCTGTCACCTGCAGATTCCGTTCTCCTTCTCCTTTCCTTCAGACTCCTTTGATGTCGGCTTTAATCAGCCCTTGCTCACATGCGCAGCAATTACGCAGCGCAATTAATGCACTCCGCCTCCTCAGACAACTACTTCAGTCCAGTGCGCATGGATTGTCACAAGGGAAAAACAAACCAAAACAAGCAACCCAACATGCAGGAAAAATTCAAAAGTCTAAAATAAAGGAAAACAATCATATAAAAAAGAAACATCAAAACATGCAAAGCTCAAGAAGAAAATACAAAGAAAAACAAATCATATCTTCCTCTCCAAACATGCAAAGCATAAAACTAACATTAAAATGAAAGAAAACCATAAATCATATTTTTCCCTGTGCAACACACTGACGTCACTGACGCAACAGTACGAGGACGGCAGGATTGTGATTGTTTTTTTTTCCACAGTCCTCATTTTCAATAAAAGAGCAGACATTTACTGCTAAAACTAGAAAAAGTTGTAACCACAAATGTCAGGTAAATACGGAGCCCCTCTGATGACATGGTCAAAAAAATGTTTAATTGTGGCCACGAAGTAGTATTTCGTGCGCACTAAGTAGTATTTCGCGGCCACGCAATGAGTATAACGTGCGCACGAAACACTACTTCGTGGCCACGCAATAAGTTTAACGTGCGCACGAAATACTTATTAATAATATATCAATAAATCAGCCCCTGTTTTCAGGCTTATGTTAACTGTAATGACTTATGTTGGACAGGCTGCTATGTAAACGGGCCTTTAGTCCTTCGTTTAGCTATGCTGCGGTTGTTTACACTACGCCTTTTCCACCTAAAATA